CTGTGTTGTGGAAACTGGTTAGTGGGTTTTTTTTCTCTTTTTTTGTGTTTGTGGTACTCTCTCTCTCTCTCTCCCTCTCTCTCTCTCTCTCTCTCTCTCTCTCTCTCTCTCTCTCGATTCTCTCTTTTTCTTCCTTCCACAAAATGTCCCTACTTAGAAGTCAAACTAACTTCATCTGTATTCGACAGAATAGAGAACAACACCTACAAAACAGACGCCTTCTTCGTGCTAGTAAAATTATATCAATGGTTCTCTCAAAGTGTATTGCCCTTACTGTGTAATTCAACCAGTTTAACGCTTTGACCTAAATACACTCGGGGAAAAATTAACTTAAAAAAAACCAACACATTATTCTCTCCTTTTAAAAAGTCTGCAAATGATAGGTATTTGGTGTATTTGGTGTAGCCTTATCACCGTGACACCCAGAAAACCCGAGTTTGATTTCCTTGCGGAGAGACTTGCTATCGAATATTACAATAATCTCATTATTATGTTGTGACGTTCTATTCCTCTCAAAGTGGGTGGTTGGCATGTGCTCTGGTGTGGTTTGCTTCTTCTTTCCTATCAAACATCTATCGTCTTTATCTCCCCTCCTTCTTTTTTTGTGTTTGTTACTCTCTTGTAACACCTCTAGTCTTCGGCACTTATATGACCTTAGTGTGTTGCAAGTGCCGTTAAACATTTACTAAAACATTCCTCTCAACCTGGATTAGCCATGACAGTCAGGGTTGAAACCTGCCTCCTACATGCTCGAAATCGTGTCGATGGTGGCGAAAAACACATATAAACAATAAAGAAAATAATAATCTCTTCGCTAAAGAAAAAACCCCAACGAACTTATGAGTCAGCCTAAACATTCCAATGTGAACTTCTTTCTCTGCCTTAACATACGTAGTTTATATCTCTTAGGATGCCATTGTAAGTGGGCGGTTTGCGGATGCTGCGGCGTGGTTAGCTTCTTCTTTCCTATCAAACATCCATTGTCCTTATCTCTGTTCCTTTCATCCACACCCCTGATCTTATGGTAGGTAAGATCTAACACCTAGCCTCCTCGGAAAAGGGCGACAGATTTTGGAAGTCCCGGGTGCACGTTGCGCACGTTAAAGATCCCGGGCGAAATTCCAAATTTCCTACCACCTGAAAAAATGTTTTCATGCGTCCCGCGCGCTCATACGACCTTTATGCATTTGTGAGCGCCGTAAAAAAAACAACTTAAAAAAAAAAAAGAATAAATAAACTGTCTTGTTAACAAAAACAACAAACAAAAAATAAAACCCAGAAAAGAAAAGAAACGGTTGTCTTAAAAGCACACACTTATTTTTCCATATTTCATTCTCAGGAGTGTGGTCACGGCTGGACCTCCATGAAAGGCCGCGTGATCTTCTGGTTCCACCTCAACTACAGCACCAACAGCGGATATGTCATGTTCAAGCTTTACGGGCAGCAGTGTCAGAAATGCAAGAACGGTAACTACGAGCACGCCATGTGGTATCCGGAGGAGGTCGTTAAAGTGAGTTGTCTCCCTTCGTTTGTGGTTTACAGGGCTCTCTATAGATATAAAAAGCCACAGAAAAACAAAACGAAATATACACCCATACACACACACACACACACACACACACACACACACACACACACACACACACATACACACACACACACACACACACACACACACATAAACTCACAAACACACAAACAGAACGTAAATCAAAACAGAAAAAAACCGAAACTAATCGTAACCTTTAAAACATCGGCTGGGCAAGAATGGTTGTGTCTTTCTTCATTCTGCATGCTGTGTAGCTGAACTCCCCCTACCTAATGTTGGATGACAAGTGACTACACGACAAAATGTGTCCATTAATATTTATTTTTTAAAAAGAAAAAAGAAACGAAAGAACGAAAAAAAAAGAGAAAAAAAACCTACGCGATTGAAACTCGAGAAAACTTCATGCTTCTACACAATAAAATAAGTTCTATAGCGACAATTTTGTGACCACTACGGCAATGACTGCAAGAGAAGTAAGTAATGTAGTTAGGCTACCATCTTTAACTGTATGACCACGTCACTCCTGAATATGATTTTTATTTCGTCCACACTGGGCTTGTCTATTCCCAACCACCACACACGAAGGAAGTGAGAACACTTATACTACGAGATTGGAGTTGAATAAACTACTAGACAGACACGTTTTGGTTTATTTCAAAGACTAGGTACCTTGTACTCTTTTGAGGACTGCGATCAATATCATTTGTTTATTTTTACAAGTGAAATACACTAAGTTTAGGATAGTTTTGAATAGACTCTCCAGCAGAGAAATGATCAGTGAAGAAGAAGAAAAAGAAGAAGAAGAAGAAGAAGAAGAAGAAGAAGAAGAAGAAGAAGAAGAAGAAGAAGAAGAAGAAGAAGAAGAAGAAGAAATACAACGAAAGCGACAACAACAACAACTACCAAAACAGTAACACCAACAATAATTGCATCAATAACAAATTCAACAACAAATCAACAACTACAAAAACAAGTCAACAACAACAACAACAACAACAACAACAACAACAACAACAACAACAACAACAACAACAACAACAAAAACAACAACAGCAACAACATTAACAACATCCACAAAATCAAATTCCGTCGATTGATTCATTTAGTGTAACATGTGGCATCCCCTCGTCGGTCATCAAAAACAGCATCATACCAATAGCATGGTGCCCACAATTACCAAATTCCTCCCCCCCAAAAAAAAAAAAATCAATACTTTGACACATCTGAATCTGACCGCTGGCTTCCTGTTTATGTTGCAGGTGATAGGAAATGTTTACAACCGTGTGGGTCAGATCTTTTACGGGTTTGTGCGCCCTCCACTACGCATCGACCGGCGACAGGGAAAACCGAGGAACCAACACAACGCAGAGCTCTGCCAAGCTTGTAAAGAAGGACTCTGCAAGGAGGAATGGTCCTTCTCATGATGATAACGACGACGACGATGGTGATGATGATGATGATAATGAGGAGGATGATGATGACGATGATGATGTTGTAATATTGGAGGAGTATGGTGATGATATTGCAGGGTGATGTTTCATTTTGGGTTGATGAAGTAGATTTTGTATCTAAGACAAGACGGTCGCTGGTGTTGAATATCGTCTTATGTCTTGATGATGATAATGATGATGATGTTGAGGATGGTGATGATGATGATGATGATGGTGATGATGGTGGTGATGATGAGGATGAAGACTTCCAAGGTAAACTTTATTGGATACGTTGGAGTTTTTCTTATCACTGAAGTGGTGCTTCCCAATTTTCTGGGCTTTTTGTACCAATGATATATAACATGTGAACTTGTTATACATCGAGTGAGCGGCATGAAAGATATAGACGCCCTGTGTTTTGACTTAGTCTAGTATTATGGAGTATCTGAACACCACTAGCGATCGCATTTAATGCTCAAGTTGTACCACTCCGAACCCATGTGGTATTTAATGAGCGAGAAATTCGAAATATAAAAACAATTGGTCACACAAAAATGATATATCATCGAAGAATTTAACAGCTTCTTCTAATTGTTTAGACCAATTATGGTGACTCCTCGAAAGACATAAAGTTCACTACCTTTGGTGTTAATGGGAAATTTTTGGCTTTGGATAGCACTTGTGTTCAAATCTGGACGCGTCTTTGGTAACTATGGTTCCTCTTTGCGTGCTTTGAGTCCTTATTACCTTAGTAGTGTATTGTTCCATTCTGTAAAAGCCGTTAATTATGATTTAATTCACAGGGTGGCATTTTCATGTTAGAAAGTGTTAAGTTGACTTGAAAAGGTCCAGCTTGTGTTAAGAGCATTGGAATTGAATCACGCCGAGAAGAGTTGAGAAAGGATGGATTTGGTAGTTCCCACATCGTGTGATATAAGGTAGACGTTTGAACAAGGCATATCAATATCATGTGTTTGTTTCTACAAATAAAATGAACTATTTTTAGAATAGTTTTTGAAGCGATTACGTCAAACGATAACGTGACTGTTGCACTCCGTTCATGTCACTATAAACCTAAGTCACTGAGGCGTGTTGATTTGAGTTTCTGCATTTACACATAATTTGTATTACTTGAACGTTTTTTTTTCTTTTTGTGTGCATCTCTCAGTTGGCCTCCTAAACTCCTGAACTCAAAACCTTACTGGAGTCAAGCTATACAATACATAGTAAATCAAATTGTTTTTTGCAAGTTTTGGGTCAGTCATCTCCCTTTTGCGAGAATAGGCTATAACTATTTGGCAAGAATTGACTATAATTATTTGATAGGAATAGACTATAGCTATTTGGCGAGAATAGACTATAAGTTTTTGAAAGAAAAGATCATAACCATGTCCTCGTCTCTGTACTTTAATTAAACGGGGATTCGATCTTCAGCACAATGATTCATGTGCCTTAAGCGTCGTCCGCACTCAGATAAAAGAAGGGGGAAAAATAACCGTCACCTTAATTACCTTCAACTTTCGTCTCAATATTGATGAGGAAATAAAAAACCTGAGTTCAGGATAACATGAAAGATACACTTACACACACACACACACATACGCACACATACGCACACACACACACACACACACACACACACACACACACACACACACACACACACACACACACACATACGCACACACACACACTCACATACACACACACACAAACACACACAAAGGCCAACCCCATTCTTTAAAAAAAATCACATTGGTTTTATTTCGCTTTGTTTTACTACCAGTTTCTGTTCGCTTTATAAACACGCGTCCGTCACATGATGCGTGGTGTCAACATTTACTTCTACTGTAAGCATCCGAAACTGATGCTTGTTTTTATTTTTAAAAACTACTTTATTGAAGCTTGTAAATAAAATGCTTTTACATTTTATGACCACTTTTTGCTCACACGTCATTCGAACGTTTATAATTTAAACATGTCTCTTTTAAGCTGCTTTATTAATAATGTTCATTCTTGTTAATAATGTTCCGTTATCACCCATGCTAACAACATAAAAATCACGTGGTAGACTATAATATCGTGCCTTATAGATCACACAATGAAGTCTTCGTAGTTCTTACACATTTTTGTTTTTCTATTCAGAACACATCGTGCCTTCAAGCAAAAAAACATAAACCTTCCATGTTTAAAAGTGATGACAATCGGATGATATATTTTATAGTTGCACTCTTAATTAATAAACTACATCAAAATAAAGTTTCAAAATGTGAAACGATGAGTTAATATAATATTATACAACATAAAAATATACGTTATTTTAAATGATGCATTTGCCTCACTTTTCAAGTAGCACGACGCAACGTTATTTGCTTGTTACTATATTATTATAATTTTCATGAATATTCTGTGCATTTGTGGTGAAGCTTGTATTAAATGATTTTATTCAAGTAAACATGATACTGTTAATATTTGTGGGGGTATATATTGTACCCTCTTGCCTAGTTTGTGTTGTGCTTTGCTTTGTAACATAACATTATATGTGTGCTTTGGTGAAAGGGTCCCAATATGCTTACAAATGTCTTTAATTTTTTTCTTTGGTGTCATAGTATGTTCTCCCCCCCCCCCCCACCCCTACACACACACACAAACCCTCTTCACCTTTTCACTAACCACTCAAAACGCACGCATTCTTGTACACATAATGACATAATGACATTCTCAAATAAACACGCACAGTACCCACTTGTGCTCGTACATGCACACACACACACACACACACACACACACACACACACACACACACACACACACACACACACACACACACACAAACAAACACCCCCATCCCCCCCCCCCTACACACACATACACACACACCTAGGCAATATTCCATCAATCCATCTCCAGATTACTGGAATAGCATAACAGTCCGCCTCTGAAATAACTGCTTGCTTTGAGCTGAAAGGGGCGTAAAATCTAACCATCTAACTGGTTGTTGCTCAGTTGCTTTCTCTTTTTCTAGACTTCTATCCATTTTGCCATTTGACCACACCTTCCAGTTCCACATCCATATCCACCTCGTCGTCCTCCTCCTCCTTTTTTTCTTCATTCTAATCCTTTCCTGCTTTCATTCTTCTTCCCATTCTTCTTTTTTGCACTGTGCAAATTCATTTTGTTCAAGTCATTTTGCTTCCGTGGAATAATGATATAATATTTTTAGTAAGCACTATTTTTTTAATAACTCATTTTATTTTAAAGTGACTTGTCGTTTTACACTAATCCTCCTTTCAAGGTCACATTCTCCAAATGGTTTGTGTGACATCTACCAGTCTGTCTTTTTTCCTTTTTCGGCTCCCCTTATTTGTCAGAAAAAATTGCAAACTATTGACTAACATAATAATATAAGTGCTATAATCTTAGTAATCTTAGTAGAAAGGCAAAGGTTATTTAATTGATTAGACAAAATAAGTGAATTCCACAAAACTAGCAAGCCACAATCCCTCGTTAACATAAAGCATGTGTTCAAGATTTACAGAAACCGCTAAGGCCAGTTTGGAATACGCTTCTAGATATTGTTGGTTTTTGTCTATTTTTGTTTCTTTATCATCACATTTGTATCCTTGCTTTTACTGAGTAATACAATCAAACATGTATGAATTGAGCGCCCTGTATAGATTTTCCCATTTCATATAGACACCTTGCTACCTTAGAGTTACATAGTTCTATTTGACGTTTTTTGGGTCTGTTTTGAGTTAATAAGTGAGGTCAAAAACCAAATGATGCTTTATCTGCTCTATAAGAATCGCATGATTATTGGGACGGAGTCGTTATTAAGATATTCAAAGAATGGTGTTAATTTTGTGAAACTCAAAATAATTTTGGTCAAATTTCTCAATGCTAGGTACTGAGCAGATAGAACTTTGTAAATCTAGGGCAGCGGCCTTTGTGTAATTTGCTGTGTATTCTATAGCTTACATTGTTGTAGTGCTGGCAACGAGTGGCTTATCAAAATATGTTATATAGTTGAATTCATATTAATATATAAAATTATGATATAAAAAATGTATGATAAATGTATAATTTTAACAGCTAGGAGGTAAACACCCTCCAAAGCGGCCCACATTGTAATGTGATATTCTGTAATAAATTCTATTTAATTGTCGTTATTTTTATCTGTCTTAACGGATTTCGGTCCGTTCATCCCATAATACATTTTGTTCAAACGGTGCGATCTGTGCACGCTGTAATGAACTTTTAAAAAAAAACGAAACAAACAAACAAAACAAAGAAAACCCCCATAAAAATTGCTCATAATAATTGAAATTAAATTATTATTACCTCTAAGGAGTCCCGAGCTCTGCATTTCGTCAGCTCAGCTTTGCATAATATAATAGTATCCTTCCCTAAGTTCGCCGATGGATATAATAATAAATAAGTTGTCCAAACAAAACTTGCAAAATAGACCCTCGTACCTACCCGATGTCTTTTAGACCCAATATTTCTCTTTCGCCAATAATACGCCCTCAAGCTTTACTTCATGCTTTGAGTTTAAGTTAATATCGATCGCTTTGATATGTTACAACCTAATAAAAAGACGTGAAACTGGCTCCCTGAACTGCAGTATTAATGTACTTTTCTTTAATTAAACAATTTTTTCTTCAGTAGGTAACTAAATTCCGGTCTCATTTAGATAAGACTCCGGTGTATTTCCTGATGTCAGAAAAAGCCTAGACTAGAGAATATTTTTAAAAAATAATTATTATTCTTAATTCCAAAGATTTATTATATCTATTCAGTTCGCCGGAGATTACAAATAGGCTTGGGCCAATAACTGTTCCTTGATTGAGCGAATTTTTCAAAACTGATATTATTGATTTTAATAATAAGAGATAATTTTCCAAAACTCCAAGATAACCATTGTAAAGCACTTTTTCTTTTTAGCAAAAGTGTCTAATGCTCGTGTATGGAACCCATTCAAATGATGTTTGTTCTTTTGAAAACATGAAAAAAATGCACCTTTATAATACCTTGTGTGTTGAGTAAATTGCGAAAGAGTTTAATCTGGCGAATACTTTCTTTACAAAAAGCATGAAAAGAGGGTTTCAACTATATTTCCACTTGAAACTTTCCTATAAAAAAGAGACATTTATATTTTTGAAACAAAGTTCTGCATACTAACGGATCACGCAACATAGGGCTGAATGGGCAAAAAATGGACACCTAAACCTGTATTGTATGTATCATTCCTATATCTAACCTTACTATAAATAATATTTTTAAAAAAGTAATAACCTGCTCATCAAAGGCTTCGTGATATGTGTGAAATTCTATTGGCTTTGCTAAAGACACTTTCCAAGCAAGTAGAAGCATCAATTAATTGTATAGTTTGCTTACATATCTTTCTATCGCCATTAGAAAGTATATTTATCTTTCCTTCAGTATTCAAATTGCACTCACGTAGTAACTGTTTGAACGTGTTTGATAAGGGACGAAAAATGGAAGCTACAACTATTTTTTTTTTTTAGATTATATTTTTAAAAAGACAAGTATGCAAGAGGTAAATGCATCGGAACAGCGATTAGTGATAGTAAGAACACAAATATTACTATTTCTGCGACTTCTACTATCCATACTACTGCTAACACTTATATTAACTGTAGATCTACCGTACTACTATTGTTACTAGTAGCTGAAATATTATTAGAACGTAATAGTTCTATTCATTGATAATACATATAATGATGACAATAATGATGATTACGGTTATGATTTTAATAATAATTGTAATTATATTGATAATCATAATGATAATATCAATAATAATAAATAATAATGATAACAATGATAATAATAATAATAATTGCTATTGATGATAGTCAAAACGATAATCCTAATTAATTTACTAATCATAATAGGAGTAATAATAATGCTGATGAATGATGATGATGATGATTGTGTTGTTGTTGAAGATGATTACGATGATGACGATAGTGATGATGAATGGAAAATGATTTTCATAACGACAATGAAAATAATCATACCGACATCTTAGAAGGTGTCTTCTTAACATAATGTTGAAAATAAGAGGTGCTATGGAGTTGTACTATCACCATCTAGACAAGGGGTCGACGCCATAATATTAGCAGTTTTCAACTCTCATTATTAACTTGAAATGTGTGGTCTTTTTTTCTCGTGGTACGTTGTAGCCCAATCCGGACTGCACTAAAAACTGTTTGATTTTCAATTTTCCCCAAAGAACGAACCACCAGATGTAGTTGCAGTGTGCCGTTTCGTCGTTTTGTATAATACTGGGTTGTTTTTGAACAAGTGACTATGTTTCAAACTTCCAACTGGGCACACTGCGTATTTGAATTTTGTTGGGGTTTTTTTGGCATCGATTCCCTAGAAGGCAGAATTTTCATCGAGGATTTCGGTCTTTCTGCTTGGGTGTTGCACCCTTCTCAGTCCAGTTTGGCCCTGACAGGCTTGGTCGAAACGCTCTTTATAAGTGATCTGAATTTGGTCGATGTTGGCGTAAAA